ATCAAAATAGGCCGGATAATATCGGATATCTATTGATTATTATAGACCCTGTAATTCTGTGAAAATCTCCAAAATGTGGAAGATGAGTGATCTCTATAGTCTGTTGGAATAATTTGAATATAGAGTTCAGATGTCCGTTTCTCACTTCTACAACCCATCTTGATTTTGTTAGTAGACAAGAATCGTTAGCATCCTCCGTTGAAAGTTGATGTTACCCTCGTTGAAGACCCACTGGCATTTTCCATTGAATACCCAAATGACCTAGCAATTTTGTAGCATCTTGGTAACCCCTATCAACCAAAATAATATCACCCTCCTGGAACCACCTTCTCATTCTGTCAGCATCTGTTTCGAACTCATTCACAAGTATTACAGCATCGTTGTTTCGGTTATCTGAAAAATATGCTCCCTGAACATCAAGTATGTAGCCATTTGGTGACACAATCAGAATTGGTTTTAGTAAGTGTCGTCCTTTGGATGCAAAACGACTGTCGAAGTGAACGAAAATTCCTGATCTTTGAAATGATGCAGCAGGAACCATCAATGCATGCAATGACTCTGGGAATATTCGGTTCTGGGTTATACAGCACGTTAGTTAACTCAATAATTGCACACAATTCATTCATAAATTACGATTGTGTGTTTTTTCTTATAATATTATCCAGATTGGTACTGAAGAGCCCTAAGGCAAGTGTCTTACGGCGAAACATCGATGTCTACCTGTGAGGATGACAGTGTTCCATGTAAGTGAAATTTTTACCTTTCACGTAGTATACTGTGTAGAAATCCTGTGATTGATATCTGACTTAATTCCATAACTAATGTTTGGAGAAAAGGGTTTTTTTATAATTCAGTGTTCATATAAAAATATTTGTTTCGAAATAATTTTTCTTTCGTATAATTCAATGTTTATATGAAATTAGCTGTTTCAGGAGGGCTTTTTCTTTCAGTTTGTGTCTAGCAGTTACTTCTTTGCATGATCTACATGTTTATGTATACTTATTTACTTCTTTTGAAATTGGTTGCTTCCTTCCTTTCTTTGGAAGATCCCCACATTTTTTTTTGTATCAAGATGAAGTAGTAGAAAGCCAAAAACTTTCCCAAAAAATCAGTCACTCCTAAAAATATAACCCTTTCAATCTAAACAAAATTCCTTCTGGCTGGGATTTAATCAAATACGTGAGTGGATGTCATTACGATTTCATCGATGGCATAATTAGATCAAACTTATTTCGTGACATAAAAATCGTAATTTATGATTGAAAGAGCCCTACGGCAAGTGTCTTATGGCGAAACATCGATGTCTACTAGTGAGTATAACAGTGTTCCATGTAAGTGAAGTTTTTACCTTTCATTTAGTATACTGTGTAGAAATCCTGTGATTGAATCTGACTTAATTCCATAACGAATTTTTGGAATACAAACTTTGTAGAGAAACGTGTTTTTTGTATAATTCAGTGTTCATATAAAAGTATTTGTTTAAAAATAAGTTTTCTTTCGTGTAATTCAATGTTTATATGAAAGTAGTTGTTTCAGGAAGGCTTTTTCTTCCAGTTTTTGTCTGAAAGTTACTTTTTTGCTCGACCTACACGTCTATGTATAGAGTTACTTCTTTTGAAATTGGTTACGTCCTTCCTTTCTTTGGAAAATTCCCACATGTTTTTGTATTGAGATGGAGTAGTAGAAAGCCAAAAACTTTTTTCCCAAGATATGTTT